GGCTGGTAAACATGCAGCTGGTATTAATATTAGAAACCCTGGTAGTTATTTGTTTATACCCAACACAGGTTAAATCAGCAATTGGTTGGTTTTGTACATGAACCCCAAAAAGTTTCTTATCTGACCAGAGAATCTATTTACCGTTACTTGTTAGTTACTTGTTTGTAGCGCCCCCTACATGTCTGATGGAAAATTGCAACAGAACTTTTAAAGGATTTCTGTCGGTTTTGACTTCGTCTCTTGTCACTCGTCCATTTATACGCGACTTCTGGAGTGAAAGACGAAGAGTTAAAGTCTTCTTGGCTGCTTGCTAATGTCCATTTTCTCTAAAGTTTTCAAATATGAACATTTATGATTACAGTAAAAACAAGCTGACTCTGTTTATCAATTAGTTGATTTCTTAAAGCAAGTTTTTTGTTTTCAAGCTATTAAAATGATGAGTATTCATTTTACACAAGTCCAAGCTAAATAAAAATATTTTGACCAAAACAAACCCCACAGCATGATGCTGCTAACACCGTGCCTAATGGTGGAGATGGTGTATTTATAGCATTCCACCTTGCACAGCATTCTGCTTGTAACCCAGACAGTTTAACGTCGTGGTGAACTTTTTTTTAGGTGCATCAGAGTTCTCATCATAAGAATATTGATTTAACTTCAGTTATTGATAGTAAATAAAAACAAAACTGACAATATGATCAGAAATGTTATTTTTCTTTACTGTTTGTTGCACTAGAGCTTAAATAAATGTCATTAAATTTGAAAATATGATTACAGTAACTGTGTAGTTTAGTGATTTAAATCTAACTTTTTAAATTGATCCTGAAGAAGCCTGTTTTAAATCAATATTGCGTTTATGATGGTATGAATGCTGGGCCATGAGGTGACAATCACACAGTTACCTAAAGAATCACAATCTTTATCATTTCCACAAAATATTGCAGTAAAACTGTAACTGCATGTCGCCTGGAACTAATCAGAGTAACGCGGCCTTATAAATTATATAATTTTACTTGTAAAAATGTGATAAGACAGGAATCTGTTTTCCCACCTGTGCTCTACTTTGTGTTGTATTTTTGCACAAATCTCAGTAGATTTGATAGAAGTCTGTGGTTGTATTGTGAGAGAAAGGTTAAAGAGAACTTTTGCAAAGATCTATAAGTGATGAAAGTAGCAAGACAACATCAGACTTTCAGACTGAATCTTTAAAATATGGTAATTAGGATGTCAGAAAATAGGAAATACCAGTTTTCATACTTCCTCATCATCGATGTTTGACATTTAGTGTATGTCCAAGTCCTGAAAAATTATTTCTTTGCTGTACAAATTACAGTTTTCTTACACACGTTCTGAAATTAGAAACTTCTGTTAACCAAATCGGTTGCGATTTTAACTCCTTTGCATAACAAGCAGAGTTTTCCCTCTATCTGTGGCGGAAACTCTTTGTCTCATTTTCCGTCGAACTGTGGCGCAGCGCAAAAATCTTATCGCAGCTTATCCTTTTTTCTCTGCGTGCTGAAACCACAGGAAATGGGCAAAGCTTGAGCAACTGCTGCCAGCCAATCATTGCAGGCGTTTTAGCAAAGTCAAAAACCTGAAGAATTAAAACCACAGGTGAAGTCAGACAAACTCGCTGACCTTTAACATCTCAAAGTTTTGCTGCAACATGATCGAATAAACTGAATAGCCACAACGAGGAGGTGCTCCGGTCTCTATCTCCCTGAGCAAATACAAATGTTTTCTGAGAACAAAAGCGAGATGTGTAATGACAAGATGTCAATCAGACCGCAGGAGCAGAGCTGAGGATGGAAAATAAGGGCACTGGTGTCGAGTGTGGGAGGCGTGCTGATTTGGTGACAGCTGGAGATGAAGCCGGCTGAAGCCACCGAGTCTTTTCTGACTCAATCTGCATCTGCAATGAATCACCAGGCCAGAACAGAGGAACTCACAAAGCATAAGCTGCAGCACATAGTTAGGAAATACACAAAAGGACCTAAACTAGTTAAACATACGAGAGGTTTCTAAAGTTCTGCGTTTGTGGGGCTTTCAGGTTGACCGCAGAGCTCTGCACTAAGTTGAACTGACATCCTGTGTTTAAAAGACTCAGACAAAGCCAGCAGAGTGTGATGGAGTTCACTGGAGTTTCACTACAAAACGGTAAAAACATGAAGCTCAGTTTTATACACACCAATCAGGCTTTATTGTTAGTTTCCCAAAACAAAGCCAGAAGAAGAAACTCACCTTCTTCTTCTGCGTCTGCTCCTTCTCTGAGGCGTTCGATGGCCTTCGCCTCAGCATCTTCTTACACTTTTCTCTCCGGACAAGAAAAGCTGTGGGAAGGCTGCAGAGTTTAATCACCTAACGACGTCTGTCACCGCGCTGCCACGATCCGGAGAGAGGTGAGGAGAAAAGGAAGAGGGCTGAGGTGCACTCTGTTGCAGAAGAGTGAAGTGAACAAGTCAGGAAGTCACATGGGTGCAATGAAACCAAAAAGGCAAACCCTGTTTCTGCTGCTCAGAAGCTCAACAGGGCTACTGGGTTGGTTACACGCATTACTCATGATTGCATGCCATTAGCTTCCGTGAAAAAAGCGAAGTTATTCGCTCAACAGTTCTCAGGCTCCATTATGGCAAGTTCTACACTGCAAAAACACAAAATCCTACCAAGAGTCTTTGTCTAGCTTCTAATGCAAATATACACTTGAAATAAGAGAAAACTACCTTAGAAGTAACTTTTTAGCAAGATAAAGCTTGTTTTAAGACAATAATTCCTGAAAAAGTCCCAGCTCCACTGGCTAGGAGCTAGGACTTTATAGCTCCTAACCATAAACAAAAAAATTTTCTCATGTTTTCAGTGAAATAATGTATCAAAGAACTAGAACTTTTTCATCAATATGAAAGAATTATTTACAAAGAACAAGCTCCAATAACTTGATGAAAAGTTACTTGTAAGTTATTTTTGTCTTATTTCAAGCACACTGAGATATTTGCATTAGAAGCTACAAAAAATTACTTGGTTGGATTTTGTGTTTTTACAGTGATGACAACTTCTGCACTGCAAAAGCATAAAATCTTATCAAGTATTTTTGGTCTAGTCCAAATATTTATCACACTTGAAATAAGAAAAAACTAACACACAAGTAACTTTTTAGCAAGTTATACGAGCTTGTTTAAAGTAAGTAATTACTTAATATTGATGAAAAAGTTGTAGTTTCACTAGTTAAATAATCTGCCAATTGAACTAGCACTTTTTCATCAATATCAAGGAATTGTTGATTTAAAAGAAGCTCTTATGTCTTGTTACCAAAATACTTGTAAGTTGTCTTATTTCAAGTGTGCTGAGATATTTGCATTAGAAAGTACAGCAAAGTGTTTTGAAATGTGAAAAGATTTAAAGAATTTTTTCCAAATGCAAGTTGCTCAAAATCTAATAACTTTGTTCTTGAGGTCATGTATAAGTAAAAAAAAGTCCCTCTTGTTTATTTATACTATTCAGACCACAACAACAGTTTTACAGCTTTACGGTCAACATTTCAAAATGTATTCATAGTGTGGAAGTGAAAGATGATCAAGGATGACATATTTGGATATTGCAACGACTCTGCAGCTGCCAAACACCAGGACAATCGCTGCAGCAAATGTTCATGCAGCTAATAACTCATGAGATAAATTTGATGCAACGTTAGTCACAAGTTCCAGAAGAGACGGCCGTTGGACAAAAATACAGGAGTGACTCAGAAAAATGTCTGCATTTTTTTAAAAACATAGTCAGGCTGCAGGACAGGGAGGCAAAAGCACGATCTGGCAGTGAGTGCAGAGAAGGAAGTTCAGGCAACTTCAGCTTGTTATTTCAGTGGTGTGAAAACCACATGAGACGAAGATGCCCTGTTTGAGTTTCCTGTCATTTGACTGCAGGTTGGCAGCCAAACTCATCTGTCTTTATGATCACAAAAGTATGAAAACAACAACCAGCAGCTGAGCAGCGGTACAGTGATAAATTCACAATGTGCAACCTCAAAGCAATGACAGATTAAATGTAATGCAGACAAAAATGTCTTGTTATGAAAAATTACTCAATATATAAGATGTAAAAGTATTTAAACATAAATTATTAATAAATGCAGTAAATGTTTGTCCACTGGTTGTGCTGTGGAACAATATTTCCTCAAACGCTGTGACCTCATTTTGTTTATAATCCAGATGTAAACAATGATGCAGCTACAAGTCAACTTGTTACACCTGAGTGCACTGCAAAAAAACAAACTCCTCCCAAGTGTTGTAGTGTAATTTCTAGCACAAATATCTTAGTACACTTAAAATAAGACAAAACTAGCTTACAGGTATGTTACCTGTAAGACATGTTTTAAGTAAATTATTCCTTAATATTGATCTGTGAAATCTGCTAGTTCCACCAGCAAATTTTTGCATTTATAAAAAGACACTTTTCCAAGTTACAGGTGAAACAATCTGCTGGTGGAACTAATAGTTTTTCATCAATATCAAGGAATTTTTGACATAAAACAAGCTGTTATTATTTTCAAGATAGTGGCTCGTATTTCTGACAGTAGGCAGACAGGAAAGAGGGCGAGGAGAGGGGGCAAAGGTCGCCGGGACCGGGAGTCGAACCCTCGACGTCCGCGTCGAGGACCAAGGCCTCCAAACCGAAACTGTGACATTTAGAAATAAATGAGTATCATGGTGAAAATGTGACTTAGAAAAATTAACTTCTATTTTTAATGTTTTTTGTCTTACGAGAGGCTAATTATCCTAAATTATTGCTGTTAATTTTCGACTGTGGCACCAAATATAAAGCACTGTTTGGTTCATTTAGAAATTCAACCTCGACAGGTTTTAATCTCCTTCTATCATTTTTCCTAGAGCATAAATGTGTATTTGGATTTTAACAATAAGTGTGAGTTTGGTATGCCTCCACGAAGACCAGTTACAAATGTTATTTCAACTTTTACAGAGGACCTATGGTAAATGGACACAAGACAAATGCATGATCAGAAGAATCTTTTATTTATAGAAAAGAATCATCTCATGCTAGTAGTTCCTTTTTTCCTCCTTTGCAAATATTGGAAAAAATAGAAAATGCATAAGCAACCTCTTTTAAGAGCCATCCACAGCAGTTTCAAAGGTTTTTAGTCACACAGTGTGTTAAGGCAGGGTGGAAGGTGTTGCATGACAAGTTCCAGGAAATGAGACGAATAGAGCTTTGCAAGCTAAAGGCATAACAATTAAATTTGAAGACACATACCGTGAACCAAAAATCAACTCATTGATGCCAGAAATAAAAAATCTGAAAGCAAAATGTAATTTCTGTAGGCTGAAACATATTGAAACAAAAGCTGTGTACAATGTGGTCAGCTGAAAAAGAGGATTTTGTGGCATTTAAAGGAAATGAAAAAGCTTGGGGAAAGGAACTTATTTCCTTTTCTTATAAATAGTCAGGGGTGACTTATCAAGCACATTCTGATAAACCCTAATACTTATGATTAGGCTACATTTAAATCAGAGATTAGACATTACAATATTTTTTTGAAGGCAATTTAATTATGACCAGGAAATCTCATACTGAACATTTAGCAAAAATCAAGTTGTTAACTTTCCAGACATAAATTGTTGTTGATTCTTGATTTTAGCAGCAAGTATTACTGACACAAAACAGCAGCAAAAAACAAAATGGTGGATGAAGTTAAAGATTAACGGCACAGAGGGCTTCTCACCTGAAAGAAATGGAGCTGATATCCAAAGATTGAATGTCAAGATACCAGTCGAATCATCCAAAATGTACTGGTACCATTAACGTTTGATGCACCCCGTTTTTACCAACAAAACAGCAGCTGAGCTACTTTTGTTCCACGAGATTCGGCCATCAATAAAGTCAATGTTTAAAGGGATTTAAATGATGTTTAAATGATGTATAAACTCCTCATGTCAACAAACACGTAGGCTAACTGCCCGTCTTAGCTAGCAGAAAAAAGCTACATTAGCTTTGCTAATTCTGCTAGATTGGCAGTAAGTACTACTGTAAATATCACTGATATTTATCTTAGTAGGTGGGTAGAGTACTCAAAAATTGTAATCGATTAATAGTTGTGATGCACTTATTATATTTATATTATTTATAAGTTCGACAGAAACTAAGCTAAAGCTAGTTCTCAGCTTGGCTTGTTTGTTGTTGCAATAGCAACTCCATTGCAATGGGAAGTGCAACGTCACATGAGAACAATCAGCAACAATCAGCAACAACTTCATCAGTCGTCATTGTTTCAAAGTGTGACACTTTATTACAATATACATGATATTAGTTGGTCATACAAATGCCCAGTTCAAAACCTCAAACTATAACATCAAAAAAGAAAATCACAAAATATCATTTAAGTATTAAAAAACACACACAAAAATCCTATATTTGCTCACGTATTTAAATTATTAAATATATCTTACAATTTTAAATTAAAAAATTATAATTTTTTGTGCATCTGTCAACCTGGTGTAGCTGCTCGGTAGAGACTGCATAGGGGTAACTTTTGAGTGCAAGTCTGCTGAGGAGTGCGGCGGGAGGAGACGCTCAGATGATGTTGTGCAGAGCAAAAACCAGAGCGATGAGAGTCAGGGAGGAGGAACAGATGGAGGCGGAGGATCCAGCCTCGGTGAAAGGCTGGGTGTGTCTCAGCATCCAGTCCTTCTCCTCCTGCAGCCCCTGCTCGTCCAGCTCAGAGCCCACCAGCAGACGAATCATCTCATAGTAATTATTCAGCCACAGCAGCTGGAGATGGAAATACACACATAGATTATTAAAGGTGTTTTCACCGATAGTCTGATGGACTCGGTTTAATTGGAACCAAAACTGCAACATTTGCCACATTTTCAGCTGATGCAGTTTGCTTTCGCACTGCACTGCATCAAATCTTTTGAAAAACCTGTTCCCCTCCTCACCTGTGATGGTGCTGCACCAAAAACTACTGAATGAAACAACATGACACTGAGCGAAACTTCCTTCTTCACAAAATGTAAACAAAAGTGAAGCGGCGTCAGATTTTACTGGTTGTAAGGTTTCTCCTATCTTTGGTAAAAGACCAAGAGACATTTTTCCTGCTAATGCTGGACTCTTGAGTTTGTTTTGGTTGTATTAACCCAGAATGCCCTGCTGCAACACCTGCCTGGAGAGGGTTAAAAATATATTTAAAAAAACTAAAAGATGGGATTTAAGATACCTTATATATCTGTAAAAACATAAATCAATTAAAACAATACATTGAAATATCTTTGAAAGAAAAGAAACAAAAACATAGAAGTTTGCTTCACACGTGGTTTTGTTTTCTTTTGTGTTGTTTTGATCTCAGAGCTGCAGAGACGCTTCAACCACAAGAGTGAGAGGGGATTTTAAGAGGAAGCTAGAACCAATGCTGCAGGAAGGGGAAAGACAGGGTCTGTGTCACACTATCGAACATCCCAGAGGTATTTACAACTTAAAACAGGAAACTGATGGAAGATCGTTATAGTTCATGAATCTGCATCTGCCTAGTGTTTTGTAATTCAGAGATCGCTTCTGCAAAAGATTCCTCACCTGCTTTGCACTGAGGAGCGAAGTGTCGATGAGTTTTCTGTCATATGGCACCAGAGAGACAGTGTCAAATGTCAGGAAGTTATGGCCAAACTGAGAGACAGAAAGGTCTGTTAGTGGTAAAGTAACTATGAGAAACATTTTACCACTGATAGGCTACAGCTTTCTGTTTGGTCTCTACCTTCGTAGGAACCGGAACGGTCACAGCGATGTCTTCAATCCGAATGCCAAAGTCATTCTCTTTGTAATATCCAGGTTCTGCAACCAAAAGGAAACAGAAATAGAAATATATACATATTTAAAAAAGCGTTTAATCACCTAGAGCCATTTTCTGGCTTTGCATTTCAGTGATTCTGCAAAAGCACAAAATTTTACCAACTAATTTTTGTTTAGTTTCTTGTCCAAATATCTTACAACACTTGAAATAAGTCCAAATAACTTTTCAACAAGAAACACAAGATTATTTTATGTCATTAATTCCTTAAATGTATGAAAAAGTAAGAGTTCCACTGGCAGATTATTTAACTTGCAACTTCAAAAAATATCTTGTTTCTAAGTATATTGATCTTCTGGTGGAACTAGTACTTTTTAAATTAATATTAAGGAATTATTGACTTTAAAGAAGCTCCAATATCTTGCTGAAAAGTCACTTTTAGGTTAGTTTTGTCTTATTTCAAGTGAACTAAGATATTTGCACTAAAAACCAGACAAAAATACTTGGTTAGATTTTGTGTTTTTTCAGTGTATGTGCAAATTTGTTTATTCATCAGCCATCGAGTTTTGTACATAATCAGATTATCTTTGGCAATAAAATGTTACTTAAGCCTCCCTCATTTCAGACATGTTTATAGTTCATTAAATGATTTTAATTAAGTTTATTGGAGTCCACAAACTGATTCTGCGTAATCCTGAGAGGTTGATGAATTCACAAAGAGCTCACCGATAGATGTGAACATGCCAGCTTTAAAGGGAATGTTGTTGCTCTGAAATCCAACCGGCCCTGAAAACACGTCAGAATAAAACAGAAAATATTACACAAAGCAGGAAAAACAGTGGAAGCAAACCTACAAACATATCTACAAACACTTTAATTCTGTTTCCTTATGATTAACCAGAACCTGAATATGATTTTTTGAACATATATTTTTCTGCAGTCTGAATAAATTGTTTCTCAAAGGAGTGACTGAAATAGGACAGAAAAAAAAAACACTCCTTCTGCAAAGACTCTACTTGGAGGAGTTTTAGGGTTTCTTTGCTGCTTAGTTTTTCTCCACCTCTACATGTTTTTTCCACCTAATCGCTACATTTTTATTTACTCTGGTTATCTTTGTATTACAGAATCATTTATTTATTATATTTACCAGGAACAAATGAAGCAAAAGCAGAGGAAATCTCTGGGACTGGGGTGGTAAATACTTTGTCACAGCGCTTTAATATTCTCCTTTGTTGCCGACACACTGTGGCTTATTTACTTCAGCTGATGTGGGCATCGAGTGACATAAACCACATCACAAGTGGTTGAATTGCAAAATGAAATGTTTGTTCACACGCGTCCGATGTTTGCCAGGTTTTGTAATGCCCCAGTTATTCAACTTATTGAAAACTCTCCTAGATTTGGTAATCAAATTAGATACATTTAAATATATATTAGTGTTTCTGTGGCAGCAAGTATTTAAAGGGAACCTATTCAGATGTTTTTGTGCTTCCATTTGGGTTTCTACTGCTTCGAAGAACAGGCCAAGGGATAAAAAAAAGAAAACTTATTAACTTATTGCCTTTTTAGGGCAATAAGTATGCCCTATGCGCTTCGTATGTGAAGAGTTTTCTTGTTGACTTCCCATCCAGAAACCACTTTCTGAATTCTTGTTCAATTCAAATAAAATTCAGAAATATTTTATTGCTCCCACAGGGAAAATAAATGATGTTGTAACTCATTAACTCAAACTCTTCAAAGAGTCAGCGTACGTAGTGATGGCTGTTGGCAGGAAAGATCTCTTGTAGTGGTCTGTAATACAGACCACAATACAGACCGCTCTGTATTACAAGCGGTCTGTATTACAGACCACTACAAGCAAACTAAGAGAAAACTAAGACCTCATTATCAGAATGATTTTCTGCAAAAAATGTCATAACAGTGCTTGTATTGCCTTTAGAAAACCTTACACTCATGAACTCCAAAGTAGTTCCCCACTCCGTGACCGGTGCCGTGGCCGTAGTTCAGGCCCACCTCCCACAGAGCCCGGCGGCCCAGCATCTCTATGCGCACCCCTGTGGAGACACAGAAGGCCTTTGACTGATCAGAAACAGGAGTGCAATCTTCTCAACAGGACATGAGGAAGAGAGCCCTCTAGTGGTGACATAAGAACATTTCAGGGACCGGGAAGAGTAAATCCAACTCAAAATGTGCTCCAGAGTTTCCCACTCACCGCTTGTCCCTGATGGAAAAACAGTTTGAGATATTTCAATGTTTCCCATGAGAACTCGAGTGAACGCCTCCTGCAGAGGAAAAACAGTTTTCAAACACAAAGACAAAAAATTACACTGGACCTACTTTATTCATTTGTGTGGAAACTGTTGACAAATTTGAACTTAGTTAACTTAACTAGAGTAACATTAGTTGAATTAAAAATGTTAGTGTTCAGAGTGAGATAATTCGTACATTATGAGTGAAAATAATGCTAAATAAGTTCACTGAATGTACGCATTAGACAAGCTGACAAAAGTATCGCTAGTTCATTTAGCTTCTCTTTTAGCTGTCAATCTGAGGTGAATCATTAATTTCATTTTAGTTAAACATAACGTCATAAGGTCATAAACTCACATTATTACCATTTTTGCTTTCAACTAATAAAGTACAATTATGTGCACTGCAAAAGCACAAAATCTTACAAAGTAATTTTTGTCTGGTTTCTAATGCAAAGAGCTCAGTGAAGATGAAGACAAATATAACTTATAAGTAACTCTTTAGTAAGATATAGGAGCATATTTTAAGTCAATAACTCTTCAATATTGGTTTATAAGTACTAGTTCCACTGTCAGATTATTTCACTTATAACAAGGGACAAAATGTCTTGTTATAAGTGAAATAATCTGCCAGTGGATCTAATCCTTTTTCATCAATATTAAATATTTACTTACTGAAAATAATAATTACATTAAGTCAGTTATGCAAATGAAATGAGTATCTAATCTTCTTAATTTTGTAGAGTAACATGGAACTCATTGAAAGAATATGTCGAGTCAGTGATTCATTTTTTGAGTGCAATAAGAGGCTGTTTAATGTAAATGTCACCTTCTGCATATCTGTGGGCGTCCCCCAGTGAACCGTGCGGGTGATGTCAGTGGTCCCGTCTCTGAGAGTAGTGAGAAACGCCGTGACTCATTTTTGCTCACGAGACGTGAAGTGAAACTGGAGGAGAACGGATTTACTCACAGATACTGACCGCCGGAGTCAACCAAGAACATCTCATCAACCGTCAGCCTTCTGCTGGTTTCTTCTGACGGACTGAAAAAAAACAAATACAGGAAGTGATACTGGTGAAATAGTGTTTACTGTTAAAATACAACAGAAATGTTTTTAAAGCTGTTTTTAATAAGAAAGGAAAATACATCAGGCGTTGCTGATTTCTCTAGAAATCAGTTCTGAAAGTTTAAACTAAGAAATTTTCTTTTTAATTGGTTTTAGACATCAGAGCAGTTGGTGGTTGTTTGTCCGTTACACTTTCAGGTGGTTTAATAAAAAAGGTAAATTTAGCTGCGAGACGAATGTTTGACTTTATACCTGTGACAAGCTGCATATGGTGAAGTTGCTCAAACAACATAAAGCCTCATAAAAACTTTGAGCATTTTAAGAAGAAAGGCCTCATTAAAAATGAAAACATCAGAAAGAAGACGGCGTCTCACCTGTAGTGGGCAAGAGCAGCGTTTGGGCCGCTTGCAGAGATCGTCTCAAAGCTCGGGCCTCTGTTGTCCTTCTGTTTGCTGCAACGTTGATATTAGCTGTGACTCCAAAGTACTTTTATAAATACTTTATTAATACTACAGAGTAAAGTTGTGCATTCACACTTGTTACAAGGCAATTATGCACAAACATGTAAGAATACTACCTTCTTTGCCATTAAATCAGACTGAACTTTTCTGTTTTGGTTAAAAACATTTTATATCTGCTTGTTAAATCACAGAATAATGAGAAAGCTTTTCATATACAATACTTTGTTATTGAGCAAAAGGAAATAATCATGGACACCCTGACTAACCTCCATGGTTCCTCATTCTATGAGCTAAAGGACAAATTGATCACTTTTACTCACTTCCTTTCTTCTCCAACTTGTATTATTTGCTGTTATTTCAGCTCTTGGCTTTATGTTTCATCTAATTATTATTTTCATCTCCATATAAACTACATATAATCTGGCATTCAGTTTGGCTGTGGTGGTTTTGTGAAGATAGAAAGTACTAATGATTGATAAGTAGGATCAATACAAATGTCTGTGATTAAAAGGTGATCTATCGGCTGGTTTTAAGCTGTTGAGCTGTTTTGAGAAGCAGTTCAGACTCAAATGGAAGTAAAAATCGAGCTAATTGCAAATTTTCCATCATAGTTTTTCTTTAACGTGAAACATCTTTGCATAAAGTGAAATAAAAACATTTCCTGTGGATTGGAGCTACATAAATAAACGAAACTTAACCTGGACTGAATTGAAAAGTTAATGTTGGTTTAGGCTAACAGTCTTCTTCTGCAAACATCTGGTTGTAACTCAGTTTGTTGACTCACCTGCGACAGTGATTTACATATTCTGCAGCTCTCAGCTCCGTCACGTTCCCTTCTGGGACGACCTTTTCCAGCCACATCAGCAACTGGATGACTGCAACCGCATCCCTCACCTGAACAAAGTGAAAGTTTGGGTCTGTTTTTTTTTTAGGTGGTAAATTTGAATCTGCCTGTGATTGGGACGTACATGAGCTTCCCTCAGTATTCGTTCCTCGGTCTCGTCTTTCACAGCTTTAGTTGTCAGCACAGGAGAATAGGAGGATGTAATTAGTTTGTCCTATATTAGACAAACAAACAGTCATTAATTTAAATTATTTATTACAAATGAGCTGCACTTTTTGAAATGATCAGCATACCTGAGGTGTTATGAGCTCATAAAGAGCATAGTTTGTGTATTCTGTACCAATCCACACTTTAACGTCAGACTGAGCGACGTAGGTCATCAGATTTTCACGAACAGAGTCGTAACTTTTCAGCTGCACGCAGAGGGAACCGGTGCAGGACGCACTGAGATAGGCCTTCAGCTCCTCAGTCACTCTGTTTGTGTGGACGAACAGCCTGCAGCAGGACAAACAGCAACATGCTCACATGCAGGACAGCAGGGCGTTTTGTTGGGTTTCTGGTGGAACACTTGAAAAATATGCATGTCATTGGAAATGTCGTGCATGCAGACAACGGTGAAGGGCAAAAACAGCTTTATGTTTTTAGTCTTGATGTTTATTTTGTGATTTTTCATAAGTGATCACTGTAGTAGACTAGCTACTGCAGCTATAGCTAATATAACACAGCTGTGATTGATTGGCTAATTTAAACTCAATCTAATGATGAGCTGTCCGAGTCGGTCGCCTTTTTTAACCAAAACACTCAATCCCGCTGCACATCTACATGTTAATGTTGTCAAAGTCAAGCTAGCATAACTGAAGTAGCATAGCTGCTATTTTTAATTAAAATTTTATTTCTCTGTGGGAGTGTTGAGCACTAGTAGTAAAGCAGTGTGTCTCTTTTACTTTTACATATCAGGCGTATATTTTAGATTTAGCGTGTTAAGTTGATAACTCCACGGTTCAAACCAATGCTAGTCATGGCCTATAGCAGGAAGCTGGGGCTGGGATCTCGTGACATAATGCTGCAATGTGTCAATAAATAATTAGTTGATCAATAAATAGACATAAACAGTGAATGACTGACCAGATCTCATCTAAAGTTAGAAGTGTGTAGGAGTAGAAGAAAGGATTGTAGGGAATGTCGTTTCCACGTAAATTAAAGAGCCCTGAAAAATAAAAACAAACATCATCATTGACTTTAATTTCTTTCCAAACTGTTTCTATGATTTATTAGTTTGACAAAGCACCAGATTTTCCTCACATGCTGTTTCATCCAGAGCTGAGAGCAGAAGAGCTGTGGGTTGGTATGGATTTGTCGTCATCAGACTCCGTATCTGCTCCACCTTATCCTGCCACGTCCTTTCTGAGAGGTCAAACATTTCACTTTAAAGGAGCAGTACTGTGTTTTTCAGCCATTTTATACCACAATCAAGTTACTGTTATCTTCAGTTGTTATGTCACTTAGAAGAAATTAGAATTTGTTGCTTAGCGCCTTGAAATTGGACCAGTCAAAGTCTAAACCTAAATCAAACCAAGAATCTTTGGTAATATTTCAAATTAATGGATACAAAAAAAGTTTTATTGAGTTATCCAAAGTGAAATTCTGCAGCTGGTGGAGAAATCCAACATAAGATGTATATATAATTTTATTTGAAAAAGTGGTGTTTTATTTTATCATTAGTTAAAAAATAAATAAAGTTTTGGGAGAAAAGAAGCCACTGCTAAAGATGAAGAAAACTGGTTCAGTTGGGTCAACTTTTTTAGTTGAATCAATCTAAATACATTTTCCTGTAAATGTAGTTTATCTTCTGAGAATAAAAACACATTTGTGTGTTTTTGTTCCTTCCTGCTTGTTTGACATTCAAGTCATCTTCTTGTTCTTCATTAGTTAATGGGCTCCATCCAGTCTGCCAAGAATATAAGAGCCAGCTTTCTTATCCTGTCTGTCAGGATAAGAAAGAGCATGCATCATTATGTGCATGCTCTTAAAGCCATGCACAGAATGATTTTTCCAGTTAAATGTACAGACCATTAGGTTTATGGTGCCCTCCATTTGGTCCATTTTTCTAATCCGCAGCCATAAAGTCTAATAAGACCAACACTGAGACAACTTCCTGGCTTCTCTAGTCCTTCTGAGTTAGTATTCGATCTGCCAGCCAACCGTAGAATACACAAACACAGTCTTTATGGTTGTTTGAGGACTTACGTATGACCCTATCAGGCAGACGGGTGAGACTCTCTGCTGGGATTTGAGGTCTGTCTTTCCACACCTGGTCAACCAGGTTGACAGGAATGGACTTTAGGATTCGATTGCTGGACTCCAGACTCATGGCGTAGTTCTCTTGAGTCTCTAATGGAGCAAATTGCAGGAAAATACGGCCATTAAACACAATCAATCTCAAGTAAACAGTCCGAATGGCGTCGGGTCTGGGGTCCCTTTCAATATGTTCTATCAACTTGGTGCTTTATTGATGTTAAAATGGACTAACAGGTGAGGTAAGTAGGGTGAAAACTCACTGAGGGAGAAGAGGAAGGGATCAAAACCGATGTTGCCTCCTGCTGGTACCTCTGAGATGAGCCACTCCGCCACACTGATGATGGAAACTGAAACAACAAAGCAAACGTTTATCACTGACATCACAAAATATGGACAAAAACAGATATATATATATATGTAAACCTGTGAAATTCATGAGCCTTATCCTCTAGAAAAACTATGAAACGATGAAATATTTGCTCTTGGGTAAAATGTGGAAAAAGCAATGTTGCATGAGAAAACAAGCTTTGTTAATGGGAGCGTTTTCATTATAAAACCCTCATAATGACATGTTGAATCCTTGAAAGACTATTTTTGAAAAGATAAATTAAAACACACCACAACAATTTAAAACGAATGCATGTGTGCAGCCCTGCCATCAGGGCGGTGCAGTCACCCGTACCATCTTTCTGCAGCTCCCAGTTGCAGTCCATCTGTCTCTCAGCTTGGACCCAGTAGCGGCTGTCTGTCCACAGAGCCGCCTTGGTCTGAGTGACAACAGCAGTGCCTGGAAAAATGTGGGACAACAGCTGCACTATGAGGTGGTCGGTGTTTGATTACCTAAAACTATAAATATCAAACTTCATACTGTATGTGAAAAACCATCCTTGAGCTCTTTAAATGCAAGTTGCAAGGTCCCAGATGTTCTTGAAGTGGCATTAATTATCCTTCCTTTCATCCAAAATTGTTCAAGACAGTTCACTTTTGTGTCAAACACGACATCAAGGTACTTGAACTGTTCTGCCTGCAGTTTTCTGGTCTTTAGAGGTGACAGATGAAGCCTTTGGGCATCACAACACATGTTCATCACATTTTGGCTGGCCATGCCCCTCCTTCAACATTTACACTCGCATGTGAATATGGCTGAAAACAGATGCGCAATTATAAAACCATATATCTTTGAAAAGCATCAGTAAAGCCTCCTGCATAAGAAGCAAGAATGCAGCAAGTGGTTTCTGAATGGTAAGTCAATAACAAAACTCTTGTTTTTTTCTGCAGCCATTGTGCAGCACATACAGCGGTTAAACCAGCTGACCAAATGTGTTAGAATTCAGCTTGTGTTGCTAGGTAACAACGCAGTGCCCACTGATTATGACTCAACAATGGGGAGGCTTTTGAACAGCTTGTTTTCTAGATACAATAAAACAGCTGGGTGGTGTTTTTAAGTCCTTGAGCTGTTTTTAGAAGTAGCAGAACAAAAACATGCAAAATATGAACTTTACATAATAGGTTTCCTTTAAATCTTTGGGATTTTGCAAGGGATTAGCGAAAGTAATGGGAAAACTGTTCTTGTAACAGGCTGCAAGTCTAAATTGATGTGCAGAGATGACAGTGGTTCAATTACTTTTTCATGCCGTATTGATGGATGTTACATGGCTCAGGAAAGAAACTAATTGGAAATGGTCAGAAAACATAAGTGGAAAAAAAGAGTCAGAGCTCATAGAAAAACTCTAAAGAAAATATAACTTTTTAAATATGTGCCCTGAAAAACAGAAAGGAAGTGTGGCATTTATTCTCCAACTTTGTAAAGTAGATCTTACTAATACCAGGTTGGATCCACAGTTTGCATTAAATATTTTAGAAAATGTTGGAAACATTTATCCGAGTTTACATGACAGCTTCATAAAGTTGTTGCAGGATTGATTATCGTAAATCCACAACTCAAACCCCCTGTTTCACCACAGGTTGAACTCTGAACTTGTGGTGAAACGCCAAGCGCTCAGAAGCAGGAAGTGGACTACAGCGCAGGGCATTCTGGGTAAATACAACCAAAACAAATGAGCTAGAAGAAGAACTAGCTTCTGGTCAAAATAGAAATCCTACAACTGATCAATCCTGACGCTACTTTTTGTTCACATTTTATGAAGAAGGAAGTTGCACTGAGTGCCTTCTTGTGAGGGTTTGTGTTGTTTCTTTAGTCGTTCTTGGTGCAGCGCCACCTCAGGTGAGGAGGGGAACAGGTTTTTCCAAGGGTTTAATTTGTTTGACAGCGCAGAGGTGGGTAGAGGACCCAAAAATTGTACTCAAGTAAGAGTAGCACTACTTACACATTAATTTACTCAAGTAAAGGTGAAAAGTTACTGTCCAAGAAATTACTTAAGTGAGACTAAAAAAGTCTTTGATCAAAACACCAACCATTTAAAATTATGTGGAAATTTAAAATATTTTAGGAACCAAAACAAACATAACTCAAATGAGTAAAAAAAAAAAAATCAGGCAAGAGATTTTTTTATTCCAGTTTCTTTCAATAAAAAACTGTAGGTGTGTGGTGAATTTTTGGTTGAAACATGTTTGTTTTTCTTTCAGTGGAGATTCCAGAAATTTTACTCAGGTAAAAGTAGCAATACTTTATAATAAAATTCCTTAAGTCAAAGTAAAAAGCACAGGGCAGTAAAAATACTCCTAGAAGTAAATTTGATTGATTAAATGTAACTAGTTATGCGACAGACTGGCGACCTGTCCAGGGTGACCCCGCCTCTCGCCCGGAACGCAGCTGGAGAGGCACAGCACCTCCCGACCCCGTTAGGGTGAAGGGTGCTCAGAAAATGGATGAAATGTAACTAGTTACTACCCAACTCTGCAAACAACACCAGCAAAAACTGTGACACATGTTGTATTTTTGATCCAAATTGAACTCTAAGCCCCAGAACATTACAAAAACCCTGACACACAGAGAAATAAAAACATGCTTGTTGTTTATGCCAAATTTTGACTCTGCCATCTGACAGCTGCAACAAAAACCAAAGCTCAATAAAACAGGCAACGTTTTTACAAACTACAGTTTCAACTGGCCTCAAGTTTCCTTTCTAACTAACTTTGAGCTCATTCTCCTTTGACATTTAATGTCAACAAGGCATTTTTTGTCCAAATACCCACCTCTCACCAGATATTTTCTCTGGTTCAGATATTTTTCTGTACATCTGAGGGATGGTTGTGCTTTAAATTACCCTGCTATTACATCAGCAGATTGTGACATACTCAACCAAGCCCATCTGGCAACAACAACCAGGCTGCAATTTGTGATAAAAAGCAACAGAACAGATGTACTAAATAAAATGGTGAGATCATATTTAATGTGGTACCAACAGCTGAGTAAACCACTGAAATAGATTCATTTTCCACACATTTTGTGCAGCTTTGCAGCAGCGTGTTCAGGTATAAAACCTCAAATTTACGCTTGGACTGAAACGATTAATTGAATTAATTAAAATTTATTGATTATTTAAATAATTGTCAACTGATTTAGTAATTAATGGTTAACTCAAATCAAAAAGGCCACTTACTGAGTGAACAACATATATTCAGAGAAGTAATTAAGCCAAAACTGTACAAAAATATCACCATTTTACATTTAGGTTAAAAAATAATATCTCTCTCTGTAAATGTCCTCAACCCAGAAGACCTGAAGTGGCAGGTTTAGCTTCACCTGGTTAAAAAATCTTAAAAAGCATATCTAATTATTAATCAATTAATCTGAACAATAATCACCACATCAGCCCTTCACTGTGTTGATGTGAAGCAGAAAGCTGTTGATGCATCCTTTGCTACAAATGATAAGCATTCACTAAAGAAAAGCTGTTATTGTATTTTAAAATGTTTATTTACTTATTTAAAAATGTAATCAGGTGAGTTATTTATTTACATGTGTATGAAAAATATACGCATGCAAATAATTTTTTCATTTGACTAATCAATTAATTGTGAAAATAATCGATTGATTGATTACTGCTATAATTGTTACTTTTACTAATTGGATTTCCATATAAATCCAATTAGTAAAAGCCTTTTCTGTGACCAGCCTGATACATCAGCAGGCAGGTTACTCTGCGAGGACAGTCACCATGAATGAGAGGATGCAATTAAACAGCGGGTGAAAGCGCTGAAAACAAAATGAACGACGAGTTGGTGAGGATGTGGGATGAAAGCAGAGGAGCTCGGATGAGGAGGAGGATGAAGAGGACGAGGAGGAGGAAGATTGTACCTGCAGAGCCTGTAAAACCAGTCATAAAGGCCATCCTGGCGTCACGTGGGGCGATGTATTCACTCTGACAGAATGAACCAAAAAACAAGCTGCAAATTAAAACCACACAAAAGCAAACAAGGACTTTAAACCCATGTGGATTAATTATGACAGGCGGCAGATGTACCAGGTGAGCATCAGTGCCAGGAATGATGTAGGCAGAGACGTTCAGGGGCAGCATTTGGGCTCGCAGCTCCTGCAGCTGGATAGAAGTATTTACTGCTGTGCTGGGGAGATACTGCAACAAACAGACAGGAAGAACGATGAGGTGCTCACAAAGCAAAAGAAAATCTTCACATTTCATTAAACCCAGCAAGCTGCTGAATTATCTCCTTCTCTATCATCTTCTGTAATCATTAACGCTGGGTGAATCCACTGAGGGCAAAGTTGTAACTGTTTTATGGAAAACTGTAGTTTGTTGTTTACTGCTGAGTCTCACCGGTGGAGTCAGAGAGCAGTTCCTCTCGGTTCGTTCATATGCAGCAGCGCAGAAACCTGAAAACATATGAAAACAGAGCAAAAAGAAGATTACAGATCCTGACTCAAAAGCAGCTCTAAACAATTAGATCAGCATTGACCGAAAGGTTCTCAGTGTTTCAGCTGTTTGACAGTTTTCTGGAAGTTTGTTCCAGATTTCTGGTGCAGAGGTTTGTGTCTGTGCAGGTAACGAGTCAAAGCTGAAGATTTATGAGCACAAAAAGTCAGAATAAATGGAAATCAGAGCACAGTTCTGCAACAACAAACAAGTTTTCTCTTATCTATTTGTTCAAATGTAGCGGCTCTGAAAGACAAACTGCAAGATTATGAAGACGGAGAAAAAAGACAGGAAAAGTTACAAATGTTGTAGCTTACTCTGCTGAATTGTGTTTTTTAAACATCTCCATCAGTCAAGCAGATTTCAGAAACAATGAGCTCTTTACATCATAAATACACAAAATAAAAAGTTACCAATTGAGAAACCAGTAATAAACAGTACGTTTTGTCGAATTTCATAATCAAAATCATCAAAACACATAAAAAATATCTGTAAATGTTCCATGATTATGGCTATAAAGCAACTCTAAACAAATAGGTTTTCAGCATTGATTTAAAGGAAGTCTGTGTTTCAGCTGTTTTGCAGTTTTCTGGAAGTTTGTTTCAGACTTATGGTGCATAGAGGTTTGCATCTGTGCAAGATTGATTTCTCTTTATCTGACTTTTTGTGCTCATAAGAGTCCAATTCTGGAAGACAACTCAAAGGTTTTCTGTTATCTATTTGTTCATATGCAGAAATGACAAACTGCAGGAACATGAAGACGGAGTAAAAATTTTCTAACATATTTCTTTGAAACGTTTCTCATCAATCAGTCAGAATCAAGGGAAATCAAACTGCAATTCTACAAGACAGCTCAGCATTTTTCTAAAACTGTAAACCTGTTTTGTTAGCTCGAACGTTACAGCAGCAGCAGCAGCAGAAAAGAAGACAAACTCTTTACCGGTCAGTGCGACCACAGAAGCCGCCCACAGCCACGCAGAGGAGGGCATCTTCAGCTGCACACGGCTCTCAGACTGCCGGCCGACCTGATGAGCATGCAGGTTATGTGATGAGGAGCGCCGGCGATGTTGTGAGTAACTGTGTGTGTGTGTGTGTGTGGAGAGCCGCCCTCTCTCTCCCTCCTCCTGCTCCTCCTCTTCCTCACTGCCACTCAATATCTGCTCTCCCTGTGGCCCGTCTTGCAGGACTCATGAGCAGAGAGCGGATTTTAAGAATAACTCTGTGTCACTGTGACCAGTCATCCAGTTTCCCTAGTCAAACATTATTTATTGACACTTAAAATTAGAAACTTACATGCATGAAAATACACAAGGTTTTCTTTTTGGTCAGAGAACCAGAATTATATTTTTTATATTGTCTAAATAACAAGAGAGAGAATTTTAAAATTTCTTCAGAAGAAGAAGTTTTGGTACATTTATTGTGTATTTTCATAAATTAAAATGCTGTTTTAAAAAATAACTGTTTCTGTTTAAGAATTTTTGTTTAAAACAAGTTTGACTTTATTGGCCTTGTTGAACATAAAGTTTGTTCTTCATTCAGTAAAAATGCACACAGAGATTTTAAACTACAGTGTAGTAAAAATGATTAACTTTTTCCAAAACGTTACTAAAGTAAATTACATATTTCAAATGACATATTTTTGGCTAATTGTCTGAATAATAAGAGATAGATTTCATTTAATTTCTTGAAATTAAGAAGTTTACATAAATTTACTCTGCCTTCAAACAATCTGGGAAAAACAAGTAAAATATGATAAATCAACAGTGCAGTTGTAATAGCTTTACATTTGATTTACCATATTTTCTGGACTATAAGTTGTCCTTTTTTATGGTTTTCATACTTTTTTTTCTCTTCATGATGCATTTTGTTGACTGATGCTGTAAATGTTAATTCTTCTTGACAAAAGTTACATAGAGCAAATAAAATCAGAGATCCAAGTAGCTGCAGAGCTTCACCTGCAGGCTGCTGCTCCTGGTTTATTAATGTGGAGCTCCAGATTTACGCTCCTACTGTCCCACATGTGACTGAATCGACCCGATGTTGTTTTTTATGAGGTGGCAACTCTGTGTTGCTCTGAGACTCACCAGCTTTGAAGATTTCTTCAAAACCTGGCAGAGCTATAGACCAGCAAGCTGTTGTCTTCCTGACTGTTTTCTCTGTTAGAAATGAGAAAATCTAATTTAAAAAATTTGAAAAACCTCCAGGTTTGACTTGTTTCTTCTCACAGAGCTATTTTTAGACGTCATGAGACCCAGACACTAAAGTTAGACATCTTATTATGTGGAAAGAGACCAAAACATCTGATTATAATCATCACGCATGCCACACAACTCTACGTTTATAAGGCTTCATCTAATCAGATGCAGCTCAGTTTGGATCTGTTTTAAACCCCCAGAGGAACGAGAGTCAGAGCATTAAGAGAATAAAAGGCCAAGTGGAGTGAGAGACCAGATGGAGTCGGGCCCAAAGGTTTCAGGCAGAACCTTTAAAAAGGAGCGACGGCGGTCCATTAATGTCATCAAAGTCAGCTTTTAGCTCCAGCAAAATGTGACCTTGCTGTGCATCCACTCTGTTGTTTTAGGTTGTTTGTGTGTACAGTGTAACTAGCCCACATATGAAAGCATAAATACGCCACTGGCAAATTCAAAGAAAAGAAACTGGGAAAGTGGGAGGAGACACAGAGGGGCGAGGCCAAGTGTGCAACAGAAAAACACAAAACAACCCTGCAAACAAAACAAAATCAAACAAATAAATCCTGCAATTACAAAAAAAAAAAGCTACAATCACCATAGAAATGCTGGAGGCACATTTAAAACCCTTCAATCACAAAAAGTGCTACAGTCATAATTAAAATGCTGCAATGACAGGAAAAAGGAGCAAAACAGGGAAATGCTGTAAATAGCAAAACCAACAGTAAACTGGCTCCACAACACAGAAATACATTTAAGTGAAATGGAGATTTTTAAAAATTCTTTCTTTATATCAAACAAATCAACAAAACAAAAACACAAAATACAAAGAAAGAATTTACTTAAATTATTAAGACAAAAACAATGCTTTTCATCATAAGAATCTGTCATTTTATCCACCGTATTTGGTCAAAACGGAGAAGATTAATGAGAATAACTGCTGGCGTAGACATGTCTGCAAGTCTGGACCGAACCAGGCGGGATGATAAAGTCCAAATCAAATCGCTGCTCAGTGAGGGACTCAAAAACAAACTGGAGTCTGAGCTGAAGATTGTTATCCTTCGTCCAGAAGCAAAAACAAGTTTAGACTTTTTTCAGATGATTCATTTGCAGAAAGTTTATTGAATTTTATTTGAGTTAATTACTTTAAAAATAAAATGAAAACATCTGCATGGTTTGGTAATCAGAGAATTTGGAGGAGGATTGGTTGAGTTCACCTGATACCAACCTGACCCAGAAACTTTTCCTCCTCCACATCCAGGCAGAACCTGCAGTACCTGCAGTACCTGCAGGCTGGAAAATCCACAAACAAACAAAAAAAACAAAACAAAAAACACAGAGGGGGAAAATCAGACTCTTCCCAAAAACAAGATTGTTTTCTCCTTTTTGCTCTTTCAGTCCTTTTGCTTTTTCAATCTTTCTTTTACTCTTTATTTCTGCCTTTACTCTGTTTCTTTCTCTCTTCCTTCCTTTGTTTCTTTTTCTGTTTTTTTTCACTTGCTTTCTTTCTCTTTTCTGCTTTTCTTTTTTCTCCTCTTGCTGGAGGAGAAATTAACCAGATGCATTTCCACATCCTGCACATTTTTAAACCGAAAACATCCATTATTATCGTTTATAGAGGATTCTTTCAGGTTTGATGTCACTTTGACGTTAACTCAATACTTTAAATATATGCTGCAATAAAATATAAATTTATAGATATAACAAGACAAAATGCTACAAAAACAAAAGGGAGGAGAATAAATACTTTTTAAGGCACTGAATATTTTTACTGGGGTTGTTTTCTGCAAAAATAGAGCAGAAAATTGTTAAAAATATGCAAATATTAGAGATGGTGACAAATGTTAAGAAGCAGTCTTGATAATTCACAGTGAAATGATCTGTATTCTGCTTGTAGCGCTGCCCGGCTGCAGTACTGTAAATAATCCTTTCAAACAGCCTCTTAGTATGAGTCGCTGTGTTGCAGACATTCATCATCAATGCAGCGGTGAACTGCACCTCACAGGCACTTCCTGCTGCAGGAAGACCTTCAGGAGCCGGAAAACCCATGAAAAATCCTCTTCAACTTCAGTGAAAACACTGAAAATAAAAGCAGCTGGAGAATTTTAATTGATTAAATAACTGAGGTGAAACACAGATTAGGAACAGGAAAGCCAGAACTAAATGTGATGGGGGAGTTATTACAAGACAAATGTAAATAAATACAAATTTAACAAACAAAATGAGGATGGTAAATAAACTCACTTAGTACCAAAATATTGAATATTTATGAACAATTGGAGGTAAATCTTTTTCAACCAATGAGACCTTAAGTCTCACTTTTCAAATTCATTCAGTTTTCTCATATTATAAGTTATAATAAAGGATAATAACTAATAAAAAGCAGCTCATGTTTCCTGCTGAGAAGTCAATTAAGTTAATTTTGTCTTATTTCAAGTGTTTTAAGATATTTATTCCAGAAACTAGACCAAAGAAATCCTTGGTAAGATTTTATTTTCAAGAATAATCATTTCCAAAATGTAAAAAACATAACACTGTAATCACAACAATAATAGAAACCTGGTGTGTTTTTGTTTTAGTGGACATCTGGCGTTAACAGGGATTGGAGATGATCGCTTTGAGCTGATAGACAAACGTTTCTCTGTGTCTTTCTCTGCTGCATCGTCTTTTTTTTTATAAGCATCAGAAAAACTCAGACTTTGAACCACGGCAAGAAGAAATGCACCTGTTAATATTTGTCCAAATCTGTCCCTGTACAATGAAAACTCCATATGAGCCAATAAAGTTACACAATTCACTGATAACACGAGAATATGGAAGACAACGAGAAGCAGTAAAAGAGATTACATAATCTAAACACAAAGTTTAAAGTCTCTGATCGTGGCGATTCGATTGTTCATGATGTTTGATAAAACTCAACAATGATACAAAGCTGTGCATTTTTGAAAATAATAAAGTTTAACACAACTCAGCTTTTGCTTTACAGGTTTAGATATGAAGAACGTTTTAGTTGAGTAGAGAGGATTACTGCAAAAGTTTGTTGCTATTGTTATAAACTCGCGATAAGTTGGCATTTACTGTGATTTAGTCTATTAGATCCTCCATTCAGAAAATCTGATTTGACCAAAGACAGCTTGGTAAAATCAGAGTAAAAATCAACTTTCCCTTTAATTTTTATTGCTTTTTATGAGAAAAGCAGCCGATACGTCTTTATTATTGGCACAAACTCTTTGGTTTTATGTGTTTGTGCTGCAGGAGAGAGCTACACTGTAAAAAAGATCAACTCAAAAAGTTAATACATTGTGTAATTTTTGTTCAAATACTCTGCAACTGTGGTTACCAGAGTTTTACTAAAAATGGACATAGTGTAAAATGTTTTCCATATTAATATATTTTTTATGTTTTGGCAGTCATCACTTCAACAGCTCAGAACTGTAAGAAACTGCATCTCAATGTATTTTCTATAGTAATATCATGATTTGGATTTTACGATCTGTAACTGTTGGAACATGACAAAAACTAAGATTTCTCTACATTTTGATGAATAAATGTATGTTTGTTTTTCTTTGTGAAAGAGTGATGGCAGAGTTAACTTAAAAACTTGTAGCAACAATGAACTGTAGCTGTGACATTAGCTTTGGCTGAGGGAAGAAGCTGCATTTGAGCAAAAAGTTTTTAAACTTAAACATTGATGAAAGAAACCACTAAAATAAAAATAGTAAAATTGAGTCATTTAGAAGTAGTCTAATCATGTATTTTGGCCTGTTTGAAATGTGTATGGAGATTTTAGCTGAAAGGAAAGGAAAGCATTTCACAAAGTTGTCAGAACTGTGGGAACAAAATGTATTTAACAATTTAAATATATGAAAAG